TTACCACTGAGGTAGCAAGCAAGCATACGGCCCACCTGATGGTAAGTGGTTACCGTAGCCTATGAACACCTGCAATACCAGAAGTATTACGCGCGCGTTGCCGAGTTCTTGATCAAGATATAATTATAAAATTCCGTAATTTTCATAAACAATTTTTCATGCTACCAAAACACTTGTCGATGCCTCATCTGCGAGTCATTCTATTCTCTTTATTTAATCAATAAACCAATTAAAAATGTTGGTCGTGAATAAACAGATTTCCATAATTAAGATACTCTTTCATAATGTCATTAAAATCACTCTTAACATAATGTTTAAGGGACCAACGGAATATTAACTAATATATATAAATATTCTAAAATCCTTGTGTGTGTTAATTTTTAGTAATTTTTACAACATTTACGATGTCGAGTGGGATACAAAACTGAGGTGCGTATTACTTATAAAAAAATATTTGTGTAAAATCTATGCAAGCAATTATTTAAAAAACACACAGTTTACACCGTAAAATAAGTATATCTTTTATGACATCTATCGATATCGATATTTTGAATAATTAGACAATACTATGTATATTAATTTATTATATCACTCGTATGTTGATGCATTTAGGTGGTTACATAGATTAATTTTCTAGTTTCTTTGACATAAGGGCAGTGCCGACTCTTAAATAACGTAGACTGTGCATGAATTCCCGCCAAAATCTCTGAGAAAAAATATTATTTTTAAAACAATATTCGAAATACAATTGTTCCATTTTCAATATACTTTTGTGCAGCAGTATAAGTTGCCAGAGTCAAATAAAAAGTAAAAGAGTAAACCTAAAGAGTATCTATAACTTTTAGAATATTCTTTGTATTTGGTATAATTATATTATGTCATAAAAATAGCATAAAATATAACTGTTATTATTCAACCATATCATAACAAGTTGAAACATATTTATAGATGTATTTTAGCGAAAAAACAAGCTCTGCTTAGGACTCGGTTTTAGGATGTTGTATCGTAAATGAAACCTACACCAGTTTTCAAATTAGAGTCAATGAAATTTGATGTAGCCATTTTAATGTTAGATATCGTAATAATACTAGGTGGAAGGAAGGGATTGTTAGTAATGGGGAGATTAGTCCCCATTGTTATCAATATACCCTTTCAGGTCGACTATGCAGTTCCCCCTGGAAACCATCGTGCTTAATTTATCGTTGAATTTGTCACGATGAGGTAACTGATCTGCCTTTTCATCCTCATCAGTCGTCTCTCACTGGTGCCCCGCCAGTGTATAACGATAGGGCAGACGGGGTTACTATTCTATTATTGACGATAAAAAAAATACTAGGCTAAATGTACTTGTATTTCCTTATATGTAGTCCCATGTCCAGTAGTCGAATTATCATGTGGTTCATATTTGATATTAAAGTTTGACATAAGCTTTTTTCGCATTGGTCATCGAGGATCGAACTCCACAGAACTCTCTTGTTTATATAATTGGGTATTTTATGGATTTCCCTAGTTTACTATTCGTCTTGCTCGATATATTATACAGGATATATACACGAATGGCACGGAGGTGGCGCTGTTGCGTGTCACAGCAGTAAAACAAACGTTTCATTTCTTTTGCAAAGTAAGGTCAGAAAAAAAATATGGAAATTGGTGTGTAAAACAATTTTAAGATCTACCTAATGGAAAGTAGTAAACGTCGACTATGTATAGTAATGAACTACAATACAGACATCACAGAATACACTGTGACGCCCATTATATTCTTCAGGCGTTGCCGTTCCTGAGGACTAAGGTGTTATGCCTCCGAACTCGTAATTTCACTACCGTAAGTGCTTTATATTATTCTCTATTTCGTGCATAATATAGTATATGTTATATATGTGTAAGTATATTTGTTATTAATATATATTTATTCGTTTATATATGTAATTTTAGTATGTATGTATATCAATAATTAGTAGTACCGCATTCGAGTATTCTGACACTTCCCTATAGTTGACTGGGAGAGAATGCTTTTAGCATTAAGTCCGCCATGTACACATATTTATACTAATAAATAAATAAATAACTCATCTGTCGAACCGAAATTATATATTTTATTATAATGATTTCTTTTATTTATTTGTTTTTTACCTATCAACACAACCTAAAACCATTCTAAGCTCTTTAAGGTCTTTCTTGAAGATCGTGGAAAGGAATTGAAGAAGTCGACTATTAAGGACTTGAGAAAAAAAATAAGGTACTTTTACCGCCTATTAATTCATAAGTAATTCTATTTTATAAATTGAAATCTATATTAAATGTGAATGCACAATAGTTTCAAAATAAGAATATTAATATTTATTGATATTAATTAAGTCACATAAAGTCGCTATTTACATACTTTTAAGAGCAAATTTTGTTAGAAAAGACTGAATTAGAATGAAATATTTTCCAGGTTCTCAATTCTTTTTCTTCTGCATTCCACAACATTTCCAGTATATATAAAAAAATATCATTGGTTTGAAACAAACAAATAATTTTTTGCAATAGAAAGAAATTACATGGAAATTATTTCATTCTAATTCAGTTTTCATTCTAATCAGATTAGCCAACTATATTCCTAAAAAAAAAATAAACAGTGACTTCATTTTACTTGATTAATATCGATAAATATTTATGTTCTTATTTTGAAATGAATAATATACACAATAGAGAACAAGATGATTTATAGGTGTATTAGATTTAAATGTTTGAATTTGGAATGCGCAATCACGCGCAATGCGCAAACTGTAGAAACGTGAAGAGGACAAGCAAGAGAACAAGAATTGCGCAAGAGAAGCACAGCGGATTCAATTGCGACAAAATTAATATCCAACCCTTATTCAATTTAATAAAAAATATAAAAATCAGTTAAAAATCAGTAAAAATATTCCATTACATATACACGAGTACAAAATAAAATAAAGTGGCCTTCATCTTTTTAGAAGTCGATTTTACAATGGAATTACCTAATAGAATTACTTGAACGTATAATAGTAAAATAATAAAATAGAAGAAGCGTTGAGCGTGAAGCATTTATCTTGTAAGCATCCGATACGCTGTAATTTAATTTTCTATATAATATAATGAAATATAATCATAAATAAAAGTATATTAATATACTTTTTAATTTGGTATACTTTTAATTAAATATTTATCCTATATTAATAAGTTTGAAATAAGGAAAATGAAGTGGTGTATTCTGTAGCCAAACAAAATAATTTTAATTTAGTTTAGATTGAGTAATTAAAGTTAGAAAACTCTGACTATGAAATTTGTACAGTAAAATATTTTTGTACGTTTTTGATAGGCTATCCCCATATTTAAATATATTCCACGACTCGACATCAGTTGGTAATTATAACAACGAGAATTAGAAGAGGAGAATGTTAGTAACAGGTATTAGTGGCCTCTTCGCTAGAAACAAACTATTAGTTTGACCTCCTTGTGATTCTCCTTGAAAACCTTTATATACCTCTTGTATGTTCATGATAAAATCCTTATGATAGACTAAGTGAGTTGCTTTTATTGTCACTTAATATTTCTCTTTAGGAGAAATAGAACGTTAGTAGTGTGGTCTAACAGTTTCGTTGCTAAGAACGTACCCTATTATGTGGATCTCCATGTAGTTCTCCCTGGAAAGCATTGTGGTTTATTCTTGTTGAATTCGTTTCGATAAGCTGAGTTGCTTTCATCCTCACCTATCGTCTCTCACTGGTGTTCGCCAGCGTATACCGATAGCACAGTTGGAGTTACCGTTACATTCTCACCTATTAAAAAAATATTTCTAATTGGAGCCCCACCAGAACCTATAGCATAAGTGAACTCGCCAATTTATTATGATGTATTTAAAAAAACTTAACAGGTATTAATTCTCCTTGAAAACCTTTTATATACCTCTTGTATGTTCATGATAAAATCCTTTATAGGAGACTCAAACGAAAGTAGTTTTAATTATATTTTAAGTTAAAATAGTTTTATATATTAAGTTAAAATCTGTTTATATATTTATTTACCTGTTATATATATATATATATATATATATATATATATATATATATATATATATATATATATATATATATATATATATATATATATATATATATATATATATATATATATATATATATATATATATATATATATTGGGTTCCTTCGGATATTGATAGTTTAAATGCAGAACATTACTCATTTGGATATTCGGGATCATGCCTCGAAATATACTATTGTGAAAGAGCACCTACTATTACTTATAAGATAAATATCTACCATTCAATAGATTGCATTTTTAATGGTTATAAATTACCACAGACTATAAATATACGAGTAGTAAAGGACGCCTGAAAGATAAGCGCGAAGATTTCTTTCCAAAAGTTGAAAATTGAGTCTTAAAGATCCTTAAATAACAATATTTCTGTTATATATATATATATATATATATATATATATATATATATATATATATATGTATATATATATATATATATATATATATATATATTTGCATCATACACATTCTTAATAATTTTATGCGTAGGTGAGTATAATATCGTGTAACATTTGATACCATAAAATTTTCCTCTATTTAGTTATTAATTTTGGAAGCCTTTATTATGCTTACTTTTAATTAACTAATATCAAATTTAAATTTTATTAATAACCAATTAATTACCATAAGATAATTTTGCCAACGCTACATTTAAAAGTAAAATATCTTTCTCCAAACCTATTAATGATAGCGCACAGTGCGTATTGCGAGGCGTTTTTTTTTTCTTTAGCATAATAATAATTATTGTATTGCAGATTATACTTTAAACACGAGTGGCACGATAACTTATTGATTGCGTACAGTTCTAGTGGAAAGAAAAGTGGTGTAGTGCAAATAAAATTGAATATGTACACATGTGATGGCGTTGGAAAAAATGCACACGCGGTCCGGCGGAAGCATCGCAGCGTGACGACGGATAAAAATCATGAACAGTCAGTGGAAATCCTCATTGACGAACTAAACACCAATGAGGGTGGTATTGATAATAGAGCTGTGACCCACAAATGGATCGGTGACGACGTGTGCATAAGTGTTTGTGATAAAGACATTGAAGTGTTTCAAAATGACTGCCCTATTATTATTGATTGCTTTGATGCTTGGACATGCAACAGCTGTGGTAGAACTGAGCTGTAGTGACAATGCAACGTGTATTGAAAATATGACGAGGGAGATGTTCAGAAACTTGAGGCAACAGAGGTCGGTGAAGCTGTTTGATGTATTCACGATCGAGCCGTTAGGTACGAGGCAGGCGAGATCCAACGAAAGCCCACTGTCGAGATTTCTAAGTAATCACGCATTCAGTTTTGACTGGGCTGATTTCACGTTTAGGGTGGCGAAACCTCAAGACAGAAGTGATGTTTTGGATTTAGAAGTCTTTGAAGGCAGATCTGCTAAAGGTCAGTCAATATTATTAAAATTCTCTATTCTTTATAATACTAAACATAAAGTTTCAAATAAAAGAACGTGAAATGAGTTTTTAATATATTAGTAATTAAGAATCCTTAAGAACTTGAAATGGCTGTAACTATTCATAATAAAATCTCGAGTTAAGGACAATTACTGCCTGATGAAGAATCGTCTTCCAATTAGAATAATAATGGCTTATTAAATCTAAGGAACCCATACAATAAGGTACAATTTATTAGTACCATCGGTTATGAACAAAGTTGTCAAATTAAACGTAATAATGTCTAGAGAAATTTTGCTGGAAAATACAAGACAGGAATAATAGTGAACTATTTAATCCTTTTTGTTACCCCATAACTTCGTCAGTTATTAATCGATTGGGAAAACTCTTTCTTTATCTAAAAGAAAATACTTTTAAATTAGTTCTGTAGAAATTTTATCAAAATCGGTTCATTAATAAATTACTAAAGATCTTAAATCAAAATTACTGATTTTGCCACATTTGAAATTTATTACTTTATACAGAGTAATCCTACTCGAGTATTGTTTATAAGGTGAAACATCAAATCGATGCTTTTTACCCTATTCGATTCTTATGGGGTCAATTTTCAAAAGACATTCGACATTTTTCCAGAGGGAGACATTGTACAAAAGTCGATTGCTTGGGTACCTCTGTCCCATTCGTGTTTCAACCGTGAAGCAGTTGTGTTTGCATGGCTGTGTTTCGGTTTTAAGGGTGGGATATGGCGTAAATTTACACGGTACAGAAGAATAACACCTGAGTCCTCAGGAATGGCAACACATGGGGGGTATCATAGGTGAAACAGTATACTCTGTTATGTCCATGGTACTGCTCATGTCTATAGGCGACAGTTACCACTTTCCATCAGGTGAGCTGTCAGCTTATTTACCATTTTGAGTTGTATAAAAAAAAATCCTTATAATGTAATGTACTCATATTACATGTAACCTAGTTATAACTTTTAACCTACACCTGTTTTAATCCATTTCTCAAGTACTCATAAAGTATTGGGAGTAAACAACGTTAAAATTGTATATTACAAATTTGAAAGCTTCTTGTGTAAAATGTGCCCGAATTATTAAGAACAAAAGATATTATCTTAAAAACATCAGCATTACTTTTCATTACAGTGAAATACCCGCAGAGAAAAAGGTTTATTATGATAATCATAAAATAAATAAATTAGATTCCAGAGTACCTTCAAGTGAGCAGAAAATTTTATTTTTTCCGCAAAAAAATAAACTAATTATTGTTAGCTACTTCGTTCTATTCTGTTATTATATATAACCGTTAACAGTCTACTGCTGAATCTCCACTGGCCTCCTTCTTGAGGAGGGGTTTTGCCAGTAATACTATTAGCAGATGAATACCTACTAAACGTGGCAACTACTGGGACTGTGGGAAGGGATTGTTAATAATCAAGAGATTAGTCCCCATTGCTATCAATATATCCTATTAGGTTGACCTCCACTCGCTTGCCCTTGGAAACTATCGTGACAAATATATCCTTGAATTTGTTACGATGGGCTACCTTTTCATTCTCACCTATCATCCTTACTCATGCCCCGCCAGCGTATACCAATAACGCATGCGGGGTTACCATGCTATTTTCACCCATTAAAAAAAACTACTGGCATTAACTACTACGTGGAATCGGCAGTTAGGTTTTGATGATTTTTTATGAGGGACGCTGCTGTCCATTCCTCGACCATTAATTTCTCTTAATCTACTGTTCTGAAACCCACGTGAAAGGAAAAGGAATTCTTTTATTACTTAAGCAGTATAAGGGATCTTATCTAAACTAGATATTTGAAAAGCAATAAAAATAATCTAATCGCAGAAAAAATAAATTTTGTATATATGAATATATATGTATATATATATTACTTTTTTATTATCATTACCTGTTTACTTTTATTTTTCTTTAGATAAAATTATTAAAAAGTAGCGATAGAATCGATCATTTAGGTCATGGATAGCCATAAGGAGTAATGTATGTATATGTAAACTATGTTTTAAAAAAGGTATTAAATAAGCAATTGATGGATGTAAAGGAAGGATAGAATATATTAAAAGAAGGTTAATATGGATCAGTGAAAGGAAAACATACTTCGTCAACCCTAATAAACAAGATAAAGCAAGTTGATATAATTATTATATGGATAATTTATTATTTCAGCCATTAACTGTTCACTACTAATTATAAGCCTTCCATATAAGGGGAGTTTTGTCAGGTTTTGGCGATCTTTATATAGATAATAATAACTAATAATATTTAATTTAATTTAAATAATTTCCATAAAATGCCGAGTACAAGAAACTAAAGAAGATATATTGATATCTTCAATGATAATAGAAAACATTGTGTGTTACTAGTCATTCATGTTATAGTAAGTTTATTCGCAAATAATAATAAACCAAAAATATAAGATTGTTTTTCACAAAAAAAAAATGGACTTAAATTGTAGCAAAACCAATTGCTTTAAAAATAAAAGTAGTTAACTGATTTTCATAAAATTTCTGTGAGACCAATTTATAGATTAGTTGGAAATTAATTTTCCAAATTGACTTACTACTAACGAAACTCCGTTAGTAGTAAGTCAATTTGGAAAATTTTTAATTTTTATTAACTCATAACCATGAGTTAATAAAAATTAAAAAAAAATGCAAACGAATCGAGAATCTTCTTTTTGAAGTCGATTGACAAATACGAGAAGAGGTGATAAGTTAAACTCTGCTACGTTGAATATGCTCACGCAAAATGAATAACCTATTTCTCTTTGAGAAAAATTATCAGTTTCAAAAGTGGATTACTCCCATAGAAGCATGTTAATGATTTCAATATTATTCTGTATATTTTAACTGATTAAAAAAAATAAAAAATGTTCTCTAATTCAATATATTTTTTTTATATTTGTTACCTCCGTTATTTATAGACCAATTTAGTTTTTTTTTTATGTAAACAAATGTACGTTCAGGTTAGTTCCGTAAAAATTTTATTAAAATCAATTTACTAATTTAGTTTATAAATCGAAATAATTGAAATCTGTTTTTGTTATTGGAACAAAACATTTATGGTATTTTATGGCAAATATTTTAGCCACCACCCACTACATCAAACCTTGTTTTGATAAATACAAATACAACAAATAAAAAAGTAATTAACCAATCACCTTAATTTATATAGATAGACTATTTCCATACAAATGCTTCGAGAAAAGCGGATCGATTTTTTCATAGAATTTTGCGTTATAAATAGTTATGAATGATTCCTTAAGTTAAGAACTTCTATATTTATTTTGTCTTATAAATTCTTCCCCTTATTAATGAACAAAAACTCATTTTATTCATTAAATAATTAAATATAGATACATCAAGATACATTGTGTGCGTAAGTATATAGAACATTAATAAAAAAATGAGTCAGCTATTTGTAAAAAAGTTGACTCGCTTTTGAGGCTAGATGCTCTATCTATGCAATTTAAGCCAAATATCTATTTAGCAACCATTCTGGAGTAATTTACCTACTCAGTAATTGATTTTTCTTTACATATATGGTAATATATCTATTAACATTACTTGTATTCGTAGATTAAATATTTTAGTGCTTAGTTCTAATCAGAAATAGATTTATTGAAGTGCATAACAGCTTATAATTTCCGTGGCAATGGCATTACCGTCGATAATTAACACGACATGCCGTGCAATCGTGTTCCGGCTTTCGTTCCGGGAAATCATAGTTCTTGAACATGCTGTTATGTATTTTAACGTTATATATGCCAATTAAAATAATTTAGAAATTATTTTTTAATTTATGACTGTGACTGCAGTTCACGGACAATGTCTTAGTCTTTTAAATCGTTTTCGAAAAGTCAAATTGCATTCAGCTTTACGCAAGCTGAATTACATTTAATTTTTTTTAAACGAATTGAGTAGAATTATTGAACAAATAAATAAATAATTAATTGACAAACGAATTAATTAAATATTAACGAATTGTGAAGTAACAAAATAACAAAATTCGGTCATAATTTAAATTTATTTTTATAATATCTTCAGTAATCAATAGAGTTCATTTTGGTGTTGGTTCTATACTCATTTATTTTTGCAAAGTCTCGCTTGCAGAGTTAAATTTCTTTGTAGATACGAGTTCGAGATAGGGTGCGAGTTCGAAATTCAAATTTTTAAACTTACCAAATCTGTTAAACATCTTAAAATTATTATCTAATGAAGATTTGTTATATTAATAATTTAATTCGTAATTTATCAGTATATTTATTTATTTATTTATAAAAATGGTTATTTTTTCTAATCTCACTACATTACTACGCGATATAAAATTGATATCGACAGTTTGATTTGTAAAATATAAAAAGTTTTTTATAGACTAAAATCTACTTTTATGTTACCGAATTAGACTATTGACTAGAAATTCAGTCGGTTTTGGATAGAGAAATAGAATTTTCAAAAATAATATATGGTCTATATTACTGGCTGCTAATTTTACTTTCTATAGGCGAATGTATTTGTAAAAACAAACGATCAAACTTTTTCTCTTTTTCAAATTAGTATAGACAAATAATTCACAACTTTTTTTAAATAAATTTGAAGAAGCAAAGAAATAAAACTATTGTTGGCAATATATTCATATACTTTGTACATTGTTAATACATAGACAAAATGGTTTTTGTTGCCTATGACAGTAAGAGGATTTAAATTGAACCCTAGCCTATACCTACAGTTATACGCCATCTATCGGTTCGTTACTTCTAACAAGAAATATCAACAATGTAATTGTCTCATCATCAGAGAGAATATAATTATCTACAATAGGTATATGTAGTACAAGTGCATTATTAATGCTTCAAATACTCGAGACCTTATTGTTTAAATGGATATATTCGTACCACATTATCTTGTCTTATGAGTACTTAGTTATAAGCTTAGTATTTATATATATGTATATAT